TACTGAGCATGCTCAGTACCACTGCTGAAGCCAGCTGCCCTCACTCTGTCCCCTCCCACTATTGGCAGCCTCCAGTCTTCTCTACAACAACCTCTTTAGGTGATTTGACAGTTTACAGAACTATCATGGTTATGGGGCTCGCTGCCTTTCTGTCCTCCTCCTGCTCTCTGAGAGGGCTCACCTCAGGTTTGGGGCCTCTTGCCTTTACCCCTTGGGATAGGCTCGAGAGTCTTCCACACCTAGAGTGGGACCCAAGTATGTTACCTGCTTAGCACCTTGCAGATCTGACTGTTTTTTCCCCCTTTGGGAACTTGTAACCCTTGATATATTGACCCACAGTCTCCTTAAAAACAAAAGTTATATTTGGCAATTGGAACAAGATTTTAAAACAACTTGTATGCATTTCTGTCTTACCTACAGTACTACCATCCCATAATGACAACCTAGAAAGGATCGTCCTCTTCAGACACCCACAATGGGTTCTGTTCTCCGAGTGTCTCAGACTGGTTTCTCTCTCCTGAATTCCCTAGAACATTCTTTTAATTGTACCAGGGTTCTGTACCCTCCAGGAGTTTTCTTGAAGTGTTGGTGGCCCTCCCTGGTCAAACTGGTTCTATAGACCATCCTGGTGATGCTAACTAATTGTCTGATATATTCTATCCACCAGAAGACATTAGGTGCACACACGGTACTTCATTACAACTGCACTATTCTTACGGAGTTACCCGATAGATCTTTCGCCAGATAATTGTATCAGTAATGATGACAATACTAAAAGATTAAAACCTATGAGAAAGGACTAAGACTCACTCCTTTTCCAGTAAGAACAAGATGGACTTCGTGGTGTTAATTGCTACCTTTCAATTTAAGAAGGGGCTTGTCAAAATTGATTTAGAGAGAGATAGATTAATGCACCATCCAATAACAGGTAAATTAAAGCATAATGTATAGATTTTATAATTTGTTAGGAAAGAGTATAACTGACACTGGCAGACCAAGTACCAGCTCATGCCAAAGCCCCTAGGTTCCACTGAACACTGACAAATACATAGCTGGAGACCAGTCTGGCCAACTGGTGTGAATATTGTTAAAATAGGTATTAGGTTTATAACAATGTATTTAGACTTGATGAAATGCTTGAGGGATGTTGCATGTAATGCTCTGACTTACAACATCTGTAACCCATGGAATCAGGTCATAATTAGTGTTTGCATTGTAAATCTCTGCAGCTGTGCAACTCAAACAGGAAAGCAGCATTAAGTAATGTAAAGTGCTACTTCTGAACGCAAGAAGGCCCACTGAACCCAAACGAGCCACTGTGAAACATTGAAGGACAAAGACTTTGTTGATTGCCCTTAGCTCCCAGAAGAGAAGATAGGAGCAGTTACTTGTTCCATCAGTTTGAACTCTGGTGGAAAGGAATAACAACCCCTGACCAGAAGGAACAGTATCACTATGCTGCTTGGAATTTGGAGAGGGTAATATTTCTAAGCATAAGCAAGGGATCCCCAAGCTGCTTAGCTTTCTGTTTCCTCTAGAGGACACAGAAAGCTTGCATATTGCAGCAGTTTGTTACATTCTTAGGTTCCAAAAGGTAACTTATTTGCATGTGTTTGTTTAGCTCCTATAACCTTGTTAACAACTCATTTTTTCTTTTTGTTAATAAAATGTTTAGTTAGTTCATTATAGGGACTGTCTATAAGTGTTGTCTTTGCTGGGAGGTCTAAGGTGCAATTGGCCTAGGGTAAGTGACTGGTCCTTTGGGACTGGGAGTAACGTGAATATGGTTCTATTTTGTTGATGTAAGGGGACCATCTATCACAAGGGCAAGTTTGCCTGGGTGGCAAGATAGACCGCAGTACCCAAGTGGACTGTTTGTGATTACACGGTTAGGCTGTTAGATAGTGCCTGAGGAGTTCACACTTGTGACTTGGTTGGTGAAACCTAAGTATAGAGCACGCAACTAGTTTGGGGTTTGTGTGCTGCTTCTTGACAGTCTGCACTCGGGCTCGTGAGCTACTCCAGACAGCTTGTCACTAACATTCACCTGGAAATTTCTTAACGTAGCAGAAAGCACCTGGGATAGATTACAAGAGAGTAAGCTGTCATGGGATATACAAGCTATAATATTTGCATCTGTGGGTTATCAGATTGCAAGCTGGTCCAGATTTAGTGATCACTGCTATGTCTAGTGACCCATATGAAATGGTTTTAATCCAGTTTGTGTTCAAACGGTATGCACATCATAACTGGCCTACTTACTGGTAATCACAGCAAAGAGTGGTTCGTTGGCCTACGGAATTCTCTTTCAATCCATGAGGTGGGACCTGTACAACACAAGGCCCTAAGGATTTCCAGACCGTGTCTCTTCCGGCTGCCAAAAGCACCACCGGAGATCTGTCTCTCTCACCTGACTATACCTCATCATGAGGATGCAATAGAGAGAGATGAAGATATTGTCATTGCACAAATCACTGCTACAACTCAAGGAGTGGCCACAGTCTAAGAGTGGGCAACAGCTAGAAGAGAAGACATGGTATTTCAGGACTCAAAGACAGACATAGTTAATAGATGGCCTTAAAAGACAATGACACCGCATCACTTCTAACAGTATAGTCGTGTATCACATGATTGGTCCCTTGTAAATGAATGGATTTTGAGAACTGATTGTCTTGTTGTGCTTACATGTTTGAGAAAACAGTTGATTCACTTGGCACATGAACATCTGGAGATGTGTCTAACCAAAAGACAATTGTGACAAGATTTCTGGTGGCCAGGAAAGGACAAGCAAGTTCAGGGGGTAATCAAGAATTTCCTGGCTTATGCTAGTAGTAATAAATCACAGAAAACCTTCAGTATCCCTCTCGCTCCATTTGACTATCCCAACTGACCACAGGAGAAACAGGCTCTTGACAGAATGGGACCATTTGAGGATCATCCGGTTAAACAAAGATTTGCTGTAGTAATGGCAGACTATCATTCAAAGTGGTCACAAATTACCTTCAGTGGTAAGGTTACCATTGAAATAATGATTCGATTCAGGTCATCAATCTTCACCAGAGAAGGATTTCCCAAGAAACAGGTAATGGTCACTGGAATAAAACTGACCTCCACTGAAATGCAGCAATACTTCAGTTGTAATGGTATAAAGCACAAAATGGTTTCTTCATACACAGAGCTAATACTCTAGTCGGGAGAATGAACAGACTGGTGAAAGAAAGTTTGCAGCTTACCAGTTTGCAAGCAGGACCATGGAAAGAAGCATTACATGAAACACTGTTTGCCTACAGGACCACTCTACACTCAACAGGAGTATTACCCTTTGAACCATTAAGAGGGAACAAGGCCAATAGATGACTTACTATCTGTTAAGGTCTTACATCAGGGCAATGGAGTCTGCCTAAAAGTGGGGAGGCACAAGGCCCTGCACCTCCTCTTCCTCCCAAGCCTCCACCTAAGTCAAAAGCTGGAGCCGGGTTGGGACCTGCTGTCGGGCAGGTGGAGGGTCCTCAGCTTCCCATAGCTGCCTGTCTTACCCTGACCCAGTTCTGGCTTCTGACCTGGCCTGGGGACAGGCCCAAAGAGCTGCAGCTGGGCCACGATAAGAGCAGCCCAGTCAGCTGTAGGGAGCCACAGACCCTCCACCTGCCCTGGGTGGGAGTCCCGAGGTCATGAGCCAGGGGCTGCGCTCAGCCTGCAGTCCAGCAGGTGGAGGATCTGCAGCTCCCACAGCTGCTCAGACTCCCCAGGCTTGGCTCCAGCTCCTGGCCTGGTCGGGGGCGGGAAGAGGATGGGCAGAGGACTGGGCAAAAAGTAGGAGAGCCATGGCCCCTTGACTCCCCTGCCTTATGTTTCCCCTTTTCAACCAAAAACTTCTGATGAAACTATTCAAGAATGGGTTTATCCTGTTTGTTCTTAGCACAGACAGCATGTAGATCTTAAGAAAGGTATTAAACCTCAAGTTCCAAATTGGAGATTTTGTTCATTTGAAGTTGCCATACAGAGTCAAAAGGATGGTTCAAGATATTCGTATCCTTTACAGATAACAGAAATCCAAGGAGATTCTGCTGTATTAAGAGATGGAAAGAAACTGAACATTTCAAGATTGTCCACAGCTCATCAGAGAAAGCTGAAGAGCAAGCAGATTTCTACTGTGGACCAGAGAAGGATTCCTTTGATAGTGATGATGAACAATCTATGATAGGGGGAAAGGTTCCACAGTGAAGTTTCATTTGTGCCTCTCCAGGTGTTAGGAGAAGTGTGAGATAAAGGAAACTGCTAAGAGATAGGAGAACTTTGTTGTACAACTTTAAACAGTCCCTTTCAAACTGTCAGTGGAGTCTGATAACAGTTATCCTACGGGGGTGGGTCTGGACAGGAATGAACACGTTTTCTGAAACACTTCAGAACCCCCCATCCCCAACAACATTGGCAATGAAAATGACCAATTTAGGGGGGAACCCAAAAAGAAACCCTTCATTGCTTTGAAGGCAACATGGGTGAAGCAGGTAGCTACACTAGTTTGGGTTTGTAATTTTGTTACTAGGTGATTCCTGCAGCCTTGGGTCCAGGAACTACAATTCCCAGGATGCACCAGAGGTAAGGTGCAAAAAAGGAGGAGGAGAGAAGAAAAGGAAAAAAAAGAAAGCGTGAGCTCTGTGAAGAGAGTCTTAACTTTGCTGTTATTGAGATTCCTGAGTCTTCCCTCACAGGATTGCAGGTACAAAACCCTCTCCTATGAAAGGATGTCCCTCTGACACTCTCTCCTGCCCAAAGCTTCCTGTTACCAGCTCTCTGGGTCCCTTGAGTTTACATGTCCCACCACCAACATCCGGTTCATGTGTTCTACTGCTGTGGATTTTGCACTCCCCAAACCCCAATCCCCTGCAGAGAAGTTGGAACAAATTGCCTTCTGTCATCCTAATGTTCTAGTTCTATTCTAGACTAGCAACAGGCCATAATGACTGTATTTCAAAGACAGACATATTGGTTCTGCTCACCTATGTCACCACCACTTGAAACTTCAGTCCATTCACCTCCATGTTGGACAACTGAGAAGGCAAAAATCAACCTTACCATCAAAATGGAGTTTGCAGCTTGATAAAGATACAGACAGTTCCGAATGTCAAAACAGAATTCGTAAATTGTACGAAGACAGATTCCCTCAGTTCATCACAAAAGAGACAGTAAAAATGACAGCTGAAACAAAACATTGTGATCTTATCAAGATGAAATGTTTCAATAAAACTGAAACAGAAAGTGGGAGAATGAAGCAAACTACAACTCCCGTAAGGCACCGTAACAGCATTTCTGAATAGATATATTCCATATTTGACTATTCATGCAAAGCTGGATTTTTCCAAACCAAAACATGGTTTTCATCTAGGTTTTCCATGGGGAGCAAACCCATTTTCCTACCAGCACTACTTGTAATGCTGTGGCCCATGCGCTGCTGATGCTGTGGCTAAACAGAGAACTGTGTTTGTGCAGAATTGTTGATCTGGTACAGTCCAGCAGCACTAAATTAGACTTTATTCTCCTTTTGTGGGATACTAGTAACTCCCCACGATTGAGTCATCCAATGGAATTAGACCCAGGACCTCTGGATCTAAAAAGCACAAGTCTCGTCTGTTGGAGACAAAAGATCAACTCCACTAATTGGAAGGCAGCAGACGACAAATGTCTTACATAGTCCAGCCACTAGAGGGGGTACAAAGACCTACACTCTCACAAACATGGGCGACACACTCCCTCTGGGCGGGGAAGTTCATTGGGAGGTTCACAGCAGTTCAAATCCCCTTACAGGCCCTCCCTGCTTGTAGATTGCTGATAGAGTGACCAGACAGCAAGTGTGAAAAATCAGGAGGGGGGGGGGGGAGAGGGGTAATAGGACTGTATGTAAGACCAAGCCCCAAATATCGGGACTGTCCCTGTAAAATCAGGACATCTGGTCACCCTAATTGCTGAGGAAGAATAAAGTACTTTAAAAACACTGAAAGACACAAAAGAAACTCACTGCAGTGTAACCCTGTGCCAAAGAGCTAGGATCATTCTTAAACAAATAAATGGGGAAAGTGAAATGAGAAAGCCATACCAGGAAAACATTCTGCAGGTGGGTGGGTGGATGGAGCTTCTTTCTTCCAGTTCCTCATTCTTGTCCTTCTTGTCTCTTTGAGCTCATTAATATACTTTGCTTCATTAAATCACCCCATCAGAATTAATGCCTCTTGGCTTAGGTAATGCATTCCCCCACATTCACAGTCACTGTCGCTGGAATGACATAGGAAAGGTCTTGGCTTGCCTTATAAAAATTAAAACCCAAGTTTAGGAGTGCTTACATTAGTCCCATCTTTGTTTAAAATAAAACAGGAAGCTTTTCCCAGTGCCCAAGCTTCTCTGTTGCACAGGTGCACAGAGCGTAAGATTACACAGCATTAGATTAACACCAAAACCACACGATAGATCTCAGCGGGAAGTTAGCCTCTCTCTGCCTTGATCATTCCAATCTCCCTCCAGGCATCTTTCCATCAGCCAGAATCTCAAGGGAAACGTCAGTGGAGTCTGACAGGAGGAGTCCAGCCTGCCAGGTTTTCAAAGATTTAAGAGACGTTCTTGCAATTCACCATTTAAACAAAAAACAAACCCACAGCCAAGGCTGTCACTCAAAGTTTTAATAGGCTAAGAATAATTGCGCTCCCAATCTATTAAACCTGTGACACACACACTATAAAGGCTTTAGGGAATAAAATACAATATTGCAATGGAAAATACTGCGTCAGTTAGATGGAAAAGTGCCCCCCCCCCAAAAAAAAGCAGGGGGAGGTGGAGGGAACACAATGAATAAATGGAGATTTCATGAGGCGAGGGATGGCAGGCACACCTTAGGAAATGCTAATTTAGGTCCCTCACATTATGATCCTTGGTTCTACAGCAGGAACTAATTTTCATCTCTCAGAGGAGGAAAGCAAGGGTTAAAAGCAGTTTCATCCAGTGCATCATAGCTGATGAATGAAGCCCCTGTGCATATGGTCAGATCAGTCCAGTGCCTCTCAATCTTGTGGGTCATTTACCCGTACTCTGCCCAACGGCCTACTCCTAGATGCTGCCAAGTTCCCAAAGATATTGAAGAGAGCTGCAGGGGACCACCACCAAGATCTGGCCCAAAATGAGAGAGACAAGAAAGCATGAAACAGCAGCCTCTCTGCTGGTCTCTCTTGGATGTGAAAAGCCTCAAGGAGGAATCAGTAGCCCATTGAGAGAGACAATGGCAATGGCAGGTATGGACTAATGTTTTGAAAGCTCTCAAGAAACGTCACACAGCATCAAAAGGGGCCCGTGACATACTCTTCGCCCGTACACAAGCGCCTTGTATTCGGATATCCCGCTGCAGTGCCTCATGGGAGCTGTAGTTCAGTTTCCTCATCTCCCCATTCTCCTCTATGGGTAGAGTTCCCCAGCAGGGCCTACAACCCCCCTAATGCACCACAGCCAGGGACTCCCATGATGCAATTGTCTCCCTCACCATGAAGAGAGACTTCCCTACCCTGCATAAACATGGCTCCAGTGAGAACTTTATCCAAGTTATTAAACAAAAAAAAAACCACCAACAACAAAGTGCCTTGTCATATAGTTGTTCCCATTGTGTATCAACCAGAGGAGCGTAATGGGCACCCGTCTACATGATACAGAGCTGGGATTTTCAGTTCTCAACAAGTCTTTCTGTTGACAGTCTAAAACCCATGAGGGTGAAGCTTGGGCAGATTGAAACATTCTAGTGACAACAAGATTAAAAACAGAGCCTTAAATGTGTTGTGTAAGTTTTGGGAGCACACATCATTATAACCCATGGAGGAATTCAAAGAGAAAAGCCTGGCTGCTTTGGATTCCTGTCCAGAGGAACAGCACAAGCACAGCTTGTGCGGAGCAGGAATCCACTGTTTACAAACAATGCTAGGAAACAGTCTATTACCTGCTATAGTTCCCATTGACTCTCTCGTAATTGTTTATTGTGCTTGGATGAATATCTTAGATGCTTTACATCATTTAATGGAGTATTTTTCCCTTTCGATTAATCGAGAAGTGTGATCATTGACTGACAAGGGGAAACACGTTCACATAAAGACAGGCAAACCACAAGCCCCCAACTCAGGTCATTTGTCCAAAAGCCAAAGTCAGTTTCTAAGTTTACGCACTAGTCATCTTATTTTTAAACCCCCTGCTCATCGTAATCCAGAGACTTCCGAATCCTCTCTGGGAGTGAAATAAGAGGTTCCCCAAATCCCATAAATATGGCTGTTCTTGTAAGGTTTCCAACCTGGCTGGAAAAGTATCAGAAACTCTCCAGAAAGGCTGTTCTCACAACAACGTTCAATATGTGTAATTGTGTCACCCTCTAGAGGACAGGATAGGTTAGAAGCCCTATGAACACTGATAGAAATACTTCATTAACCCAAGGAGGATGGAAAAGCTTGCCCCACTAGTGTTCCTCTCCCAATAGTATGGGTACACCATGATTTTGTTTAAGGCTGTAATCCTATCACCAACCAACTCAGCCAGAAGTTACAGGCTTGATACAGGAAATACTGAGGTAAATTCTGTGGTCTGTATTACACCAGACGTCAGACTAGAAACTCATATGGTCCTTTTTGGGCTTGAGATCTATTAATCCATTAACTTGAACATTGTAGTATAGATTCTGGATGCACCGTGCAGCAGGCACTAAACAAACAGACCTGGCTGGAGTCCAGAGTTATTGTGACATTAAAAATGGCCAAGAGAAATAATCCAGAGGTGCTGAGAAGCTGACCCTCTCTCAAGCTCTGAGGCAGGACACAAGTTGTGACAAAGTCAGGAGGGATGAAAGCTAAAGACTTCTTGAGGCAGTTAACAGAATAGAGGAGAAAGTACTTATACTTGATTTAGACTTCCATAAAGCCCCTGGCAAAAGGCTGTTAAGGAAACTCTGTAGTAACGAGATGCAAGATCTCGTAATACAAGCGGCAGGTAGAAAAATAAAGAGTAGGAACAACATTTTCAACATGGAAGGAGGTTAATAGTTGGATAAAATATATTATTTGTAAAGTGCAAATTTTGGACAGTAAATAGATTAGCTATTGACAACTTATCAATGGTTGTGGTGGAAATCTGTAAATCAAGATTAGATGTCCTTCTCAATTATGTTGCCATAGGCACTGGCTCCATAGGTGCTTTGGGGCTAGAGCACCCACAGGGGGAAAATGGTGGATGCTGAGCACCCACCGGCAGTTTCTGCTATCAGCTTCCCCACCACTGCGTCCCACCTGCCAGCAGGCCCCGCAGGTCAGCACCACCTCCTCCCTCCCTGCGCCTCCCGCCCACCGCCAACAGGTATTTTGCGGTGTGCAGGAGGCTGGGAGGGAGGGGGTAGGAGTGAGGACATGGTGCTCTTGGGGGAGGGGGCGGACCTGGGCAGGAAGAGGCAGGGTGGGACATTGGGAGAAGGGGTAGGGTCTGGGACAGTGCCAGGGGTCAAGCACCCCCAGGCACTTTGGAAAGTCGGCGCATGTGGATGTTGGTCTACTTCAAGCTCAAGGTTAATCGGGCTTTACGCACGAAGTACTAGGTGAAATTCTATTTCCTGTGTTATGCAGACAAGATCATGCTAATGATCCCACCGGGCCATAAAAATCTATGATTCTCTACACAGAGGTAAAACCGTGAGGTGGCAACATTTGCAGATAACACCTAATTATTGAGGTTAGGAAGGACTAGAGAGAATTATATGGAACTTCACAAACACCTGGCACCTAAACTGTTGGGCAACATGGACAAGGGCAAGGTAATGGCCATTGCGAGGAAGAAATTGAGTTACTCGTACATATTCCTGGGTTTTAACTGAACTATCACCCCCCACATGGCACCATTGTTCATTGTCAGAGAGACAGAACACTGGACTAGAGGGGCCTCCTGTGTTTCCAGAACTACTTAGGGTCCACACATGTTTTAGAGCTGACACCTGGGCTGGAGAGACAGTAGACATATGCAAAGAAGTGTCATCTCCTTGCTGACTCCGACAACAGGAGTTGTACTGAAGGAATCTCTCAAATCTCACTTGGCACGGAGAGGAGTGGAGAAGTCCAGGAGGAAAAAATTAATAGACAAAACAACGTCTCCATTGTGTCCTTGATGAAGGAGCCAGAGGAGAGTCTCCCATTAGTTCATGTGTCTCCTTTCAATTAAGGGATTGAGGGTTATAGTATAAAAGCACATGAAATAAATCAGGCAGTGCCTTGGAATTAAATCTAGACTTTTCTCAAGCCATCAGTTAAGAGCCCAAATCTCATACCCATAGAAAATAGTTCAGAGAAACTGGCAGTTCCAGATTGGAAAGGAAGACTGGCCCTACTTGCTGCTGCATTCACATTTCCATTATTCAACTCGCTATTAAAGCCAAAGCTGCAAGGGGCAGATTCCCAGCTCACAAATCTAGAGTGACCGAAGGGTTCACTTTACACCAGTATATCATTTCAGCTGGGATTTGATTAAGTGGTAAAAATACGTTATCCCCATAGAAATCCCATCACCATCAGAAGCTTCTATTTCTCTTTGCTGCAGTGTCATCTCCAAGATGTAAAATCCTTGGAAGTGGCACAAAGAAAAGGCAATCTGAAATACACACCTAGACTATTGCACAGCAATAGAATAGGAAGTCGTCCAGTGTAATACCAGCCTAATGACTGTTACATGCACATCCTCCTGAGATATTAACCCAGTGTCTCAATTAGAGCAGAGGGGTAAACTTTGGAGACACTGGTGATTCTGGACAGGAATTAATATGTTTTCTGAAACACTTCAGACCCCCACAACAACATTGGCAATGATAATAATGACCAGTTTAGGGGGGACAAAGCCTCAAACCAAAAACAAACCCTTCATTGCTTTGAAGGCAACATGGGTGAAGCAGGAACACAAGCTGCATCTGCTCATCTGTGTTGTCTGGTTATATTTAATTCATCTTAGTCACTTTGCAGCCTAAGAAACTTGCTCAGAAACTCCAGATGCTATCAAATGCTGGAACACCTTGTCCCAGAGCAGTCGGATGTAACCAGTTAGAACACTTCTAAACAAAACACTGGTGCCAGAAGACAGGGTCATCACAGAAAACTGCAAAGGCTTAAATACAAAAGAACAGACAAGGTAAGATAGTAACTCACACCTATTTGAGCACTCATTGTTGTACAAATAGGTGATTTCTCATGCCCTCACTTCCTTTCAGTTATTTATCTGAGTTTCCCTTATGGATGCAAAAACTGATTAAATCCATCAGTTGGACTCAGATCCAGGGGCTACCTAGAGGTAGTGACTAACAGAAGAGAAAAGTTGTGGTTCAGGCAGCAGAATGGAAGCCAAGAGATTTAATTCCTGGCTCCGCCACAGGCGGTTTGTGTGCCTGTAGACAATCACATCAGGCCAGATTTGATATCATGTGTCTCAGGAAGTCATGTCATGGGAGGGAGGGATAGCTCAGTGGTTTGAGCATTGGTGTGCTAAACCCAGGGTTGTGA